AAAAATTGCTTAACATTATATGTTCATTCATGCATAATGAGTATCATTCTACAATTAGAATTAATTTAAATAGCCCCACACTATTCACTATTGTTTAAATAAAATGACAAAATTAAACTAATAACATTTATAACCTTTATTAAAATATTTAATATTCAAAAGAAAAATAATTCTTATAAACAACTTAATTATTCCAAACGAAAATTTAACCGCCTAGATTTTGTACTCATCTCATTAATGACTTCATCAGTATTTATTTTAATGTCTCGATGAATGTTCATCAGAGCTAAGCCGTTTAATCTTGCTTGTCCAATAGAATATATAAATRTTTATAAATGTCTATGGTAATATACTAATATCTAATAAGTTGAAGTCAACAAAAAAAAGTCAATGGGGAGGGATATAACCCCTAACCATCCCCCCCCTTGGGCACGCTACTGCACGTTTATAAAAGGTTGGGAACCGCTGSCATAACAGCATAACTTSTATAACAAAATATACATAATTATTTTGTCATGATTATTAGTTACTACAAATTACAATACAATGGCAAAACAGGACACATTAAATTTAATTTAATAAGGCACGTTTCCCTATATTTTTACTATGAAATACACAATTATATACATAATTTAATTTTATCCCTCTGTATTGAACAATTTTAGTAGATGATCATATTTATTCCCTCTCTTTCCAATCATTAAATACTACAATTAATTAACAAAATATTTATATATAATTTTATTACTTCATCATAAATATAATGTACATTGTCAAAAATAATCTAAATTATAATTTTGATGGCACGTTTCCCTATATTTTTTCTATTATTACCTAAAATAGTTGTGTACTGCATTGTCTGCAGTATTGACATACACACAGTATTTAATTAACAGAATCTGTTAATTCTCTTTCTATGTACAAAGATGAAAGATTAGTGAATCTACTCTGCACCATACTGGTTCATAACCAATTCTTAATGCGACGCATTGTGTAAAATGACCTTTCACATGTTGCTTATGCAATTGGTATGGTTAATGCAACTTGCATTAATTTGTTAAGGTTTGGATATACTTCCGGATTACATGTGCATATGACATCTTCAAATTAAAAAAAAATATCAATATATGTAGCTATTTCTTGGCTTTTTTCGGAAAATCTTTTATTCAAATTTGAAATCACATCATCAATAATTCTGAAGTATGCAGTTCTTTGCCAATAAACGTCAACAGATACACATTCATCTTCATTAATACGGTATGTGGCTCCCGTTGGATAAGTCAAAGCATAATCTTGAAGTGTTATAGGTTCTTTTCTTTTACGTTTTTTACTTTGAATTCAAAACAAAAAATAAAATAATAAAAGTAATAAATAATCACAATGAAATTATCATAGTTAATAAGATAATAAAATATAAAAGTGATATTTAATTAATAATATGTTAAACTAACCTCCTATAGATACTAGATAGTGTTGTTAATACTATATCATTATCATCGCGAAAATCTTTTACTTTAATCTAGAATAAAGAGAATGCATTATTGGAACGTAAATCTTCAAAAGACTTTTGTAACACTTTTTATGACATTTACAGATTTATCCAAAGTAGCTGATTTACTTTGAAGCTGCTGACTAAACACATTTATGATTGATAAAACTTCATTTAGTATGAATACAACTACAACAAAATCACTGATTTGTATTGAATTTAAAATACCTATAAATAATGTTTTATTTATTTAGTTCATAATATATAATATGACAGTAATTATATTAGTTTAATAGGTGTAATTTAATAAATTGTTAATTTGTCATGAATAAAATTTAAAACTTCTATACAATACCTACCTATTGCTTTCGCTACATCTTTGTCATATTGAACTTCTTTTCGKAGAGTAACAATAATTGCCTTACAGTTCTTGAACAACAAATCCAATGTGTATCTTTTTAAGACTAAGTTGTTTTTGGATATCAAGTATAGTTAAGGATTTTTAGATGGTCGAGAAAAATGGACATAGGTTGATTCTATAATTTTGAATACCTTTGAGCACTATAAATAAAACATTTTTCATTGACAAAAGTTGATACTCAAGTTCTTTTAAAATAAATTACCTTTATTGATTTGGATAAATCTAAAACATCTAAATTAAGTCTATACGCCATACAGTGTGTATACAGGGTGATTTTGTTATCATAAACCACTCATTATTTCAAAAAGTATCAATGTTTTTGAAAATATTTTTTTACAAAGTTTCATGTTGTTAAAAAAACAAAGTTTTTATTAAAAAATTAGGTTTTTAAATAATTTTTATCATATTTTAAGTTTTTTACTTTTTTGAATGACAACCTAGAGTTTCAATTTCATATTCCAAAGTAGAATATTTTTCTAAGCATTTTAATATGTAAAAATCGAATTTTGGACGAGTAGGTTATGATTTATAAGTATTTTAAGTTTAGACAAGCGGAGTAGTGGACAAACATTTTGCTGGGTAACCCCGTAACACTTCACTCCGCCAATCTAAACTTTAAATACTTATAACTTATAAACTACTCCTCCAAAATTCGATTTTTACGTATCAAAATACTCAGGAAAATATTCTGCTTTGGAATATGAAATTAAAACTCTAGGTTGTCATTCAAAAAATAAAAATGTTGTTTTTTTTAACAACATGAAACTTTGTAAAAAAATATTTTCAAAAAATTGATACTTTTTAAAATAATGAGTGGTTCATGATAAAAAATTCACCCTGTATATGGCTACTGGATATTGCTTTTGCACTTTAGCTTATACTCTGTTTAGATGACCGGACATAACACTAGATCCATCGTAAGATTGAGCCACTATATGAATGATTTCCTTGTTTGTAWTTTGTTGTTCAAAGTCTCGTTCAAAGTAATGCATTAAGTAAATTTGTGTTGTATTTTGGCCACTAGAAACATCTATGAAACCCAAAAATCTTCCAAAACATTCAATCCTACAGCATATTGTATACATAATGAAAGCCAGTGGTGTATTTAGGGGGGGGGGCTAGTGGGCTGCAGCCCCTCCTGAAATTACAGTATTAACTKTTAACTATATTGTAGTCTCTAGGTGCTAGATAATTATTGTTAGTCGCTATATATTATAGCCCACCCCAAAAATTATTTCTATATACGCTACTGATGAAAGCTTTTCTATAACTCTTAAGAACATAATTGGCAATTATTATGAAATGACCCTTAATTATTTTTAAACATGCTTTTTCATTTTTTAGACTAAAATGAACGTAATATAATAACAATTACAATTTGGTTTCCTTAGATTTATAGATAATTAGATATTAAAATACCAACCTAGCTTTATCACACATAATAGCAAAGAAACCAGTTTTTGAATATTCATTAAGTGTCATTTCCTTTATGGCACTGGCACAAATATCAATAAGTTTGATTTGAATTCTCCAACTACTATAATTTGTATCTTTAGAATACATATTTTCAAATCTGATACTGATTTAGCATACAATTTGCACAACTCTGTAAAATTTCCTAAAACACAAAATAACTGATAATTTTACTTTAATAATATTTATTATAATATTAGAATATAGGTACCTTGATTAATTGATTCATCATTCTCATAATGTCTTCTAAAGGCAACAGCTTGTTTCCTATAAACGACACTATGTTGATTAGATGTGAAAAGTACTGAAACATTTTTCTTATTTGTTCTCTGTGTGCAGACGACAATTGAGCTACAACAGTTTCTTTTGTTTTACTTGAATACAATGATGACAGTTTCGAAACACATGGCTATGAGCAATATTATGTTTTTTTAATCGTTCACTGAGCTACATAACAATATTATAACTTTGATTAAAATAAAATAATAATAGTTACACATTTACACTATTAATCTATCAAATTTAAATTTGACTTGCACTCTTATTTTATTATTATTTTTTAATTTATATAAATTAAAATAATTATACACACCTGCAACTTATCCTTTCCAAGAGCACTGACACTTTGCTCCAAGTGCCCCAATAACGACTTATTTTCTTCTACTTTAATTAAGATTTTATTTTCATATTGTACTTTAAACCCTTTAAACCTTATTCTGAATTCAGAATTATTATTGTTAAACTATATACTAAAATTATTTTATTTTTTTGTTTATTCATATTAGCTATTCACTTATTTATATAATATTATTATTTTACTTTATATTAGTCAGTGTAATTTTAACCACTATATACAACTAGGCCTAGGTCCATTATATTTAATTATTTGAATTTTTATTATCATTGTGATTGTGTAGTCTAAGTTGAATGAAAATRGTAGTTACTATGAATTTTATATATTAAAATATTGTGCTACTATGAATACGTTTTTATGTCCTCCATCATTAAGAGCCCATATTACAATTAGTTGAACTCCGGTTAAACAACGGAATTCGGCCGGTAAAATCAGTGGTTCAAACATAACCGAGGTTTAAACTATGATTGTAAAACGGGTCCTAAATACTTTTCAAATGGCGTTTGGTTATCCAAATTTTTTCTTACTTCAGTCCAATTTCATTGGTTAAGAGTACTGTATTTGCTCATTTATCTGGCTTTTATATCATTCTTACCTTTAGAAATTAAAAAAAAAATTTTAAATGGATCCAGTTAGACTTTAAAAGAGGATAAGCTCGTATGGACTTTTCTAGTACCAACAAATCAACCAATTTTATTAAATCCTTCTGGATATTTTCAGATATGTTTGTCTGGAATTAATGAAAGAAGAGGACCAAGACCAGTACATTCCCCAATAACTTCTACATAATTACTGTGACCACCATTTACAGTTGTAAACATATAACAGCTACCTCGTCAAATGCCACCTAAAGCTCCTGGTGCCTCTCAAAAGAGGGCCCCAAAGCCAAATGGACCAAGACCTATGGTTTCTGGTGAAAGCTCTATAGTTCCTAATCAGGTCCCAATAGCAGCAGTAAGAATCTTTTAAAAATGTATGGCATATATTTACCAAGTATTTATATATGTTTTTTTCTAGGTACAACAAGGACTTAAGACTTTAAATACAGGTAAAACAAAAAAATTATCTCAAATTTATATTAGGTATATATAGGATTATATTAATATAATATAAACAAAAAAATCAACTTGTRTCTTTTTATACTCAAAAAAATTCAAGTTGATGTTAAATTTGATGGAATACCTAATACTATATATTAGTTGCTAATATTAATATTAGTTAATAAAACTTTTAATGATTCTAAATTGTATTAGTTTTTTTAATAGTTTTTGATAAATCCTTAGGTGGGGATGTACCAGCATTACCAGTAGGCCGTGGAGCTATAAGAGGTCGAAGACAAATTGATTTTGAAGAAGTTTAGTTGAAAAAATTGCTCGACATTTAAAGTACCGATAGGGAGTGGAGCTATAAGAGGTCGAAGACAAATTGAGCTTGAACATTTTAGGACTCCAAGACCTGAATCTTCATTGGGCAAAGTGGGAAAACAAGGTAAGATATTATTTAAATGAACACCTTTTTCTTTTATAAATATATTGTGTATACCCTATATTAAATGATGTATAAAAAAAATAAATACTATGCAACTAATTGTATAAGGTTAGTCAACAATACTTAGTTAATTACATTTACTTGGGAAGTAAAATAATATAAAAAATTAACTTGCAATATTGCATAAAATATTATAATATWAGTTAAATTTATTGTGGTGGCTACATTTAATTTATCATATTATATCAAGACTAACTGTTGCTATTAAGCGTAAATTATATGCTAAAATTTTCTTCAGGAACTTCAGGGCAACCTGTGAAATTGTTGGCAAATTATTTTCCGATAACCTCATATGCAAATTGGTGTTTATACCAATATAGAGTTGATTTTGATCTAGAAGAAGATAGAATTAGTACTAAAAGAGGATTATTAGCTCAGCACAAAGAACGATTGGGAGGATATTTATTTGATGGAACAATGTTGTTTTCTGGAAGCCGATATGATCCACCAGTAAGTTGTATACGTTTGTGATTTATTAAATGTAAATTGTAGATATGTAGGTATTATTTTGGTGGTACTAATATAAAAATGAATAATAGGTTTTAAAATATGTTTAAAAGAAACAATATTTCACTATTGGTTCATGTTAAAGATTATGCAACCTAGTGTTCAAATGTAATATCAAATTCAATATTTTGGTTTAGACTTTTGAACTTACATCCAAACGACGCTCAGATGATCAAATTATAATAATCAAAGTAAAATTCATAAATGTAATAGAGACTGGTGATTATGCCAACATTCAAGTTTTTAACTTACTCTTGCGCAACTGTCTTCGTCATCTTAAACTAACATTGATTGGAAGAAACTTTTATGATCCAGATGCTAAAGTAAATTTGTAATTATATAAATATTTTATCAATTATTTTCCCGTCATCTTATAATTGCTTTTAGATTGATATGGCTCAACATAAGCTTCAACTTTGGCCAGGTTACGAAACAACAATTGGCAGGTATGAAGACAACATATTATTAAGTGCCGATATATCTACCAAAGTAATGCGTCAAGAGACAGTATTGGACTTTTTAAATCAGTGTGCTAATGAAAGAAATCGTAACCAAGATTGGATGGTGAGTTTATTATGAATTAGTATGTTTTCAGTAAAATTTACTTTCAATAAATAATTTAATGACTAATATATTATTTAGATCAACTTTAAAATGGGAATTGTTGGTACTACAGTAATGACAAAATACAACAACGAAAMATACAGAATTGATGACATAGATGAAAATTCAGACCCTACTTCTAAATTCCGGAAAAAAGATGGTTCTGAACTATCCTACATGCAATATTACAAAGAAGTACATATCTTGCGATAAATTTCATTATACTAGACCTTAATTAAAATATGCATTACTGTGTTAGAAATGGAACATAACCATTCGTACGGCTAAGCAACCAATGTTGATTTCAAAAAATAAAAGATCCATACGAACATTTGGTGAAGAAGATACGTTGGTGTATCTTGTTCCAGAGTTGTGTATTATGACTGGTATAACTGATGCCATGAGGTAATCAACTAAAATTTACTTAATTCATATTAATTTTTAATTGATGTTCTAACTATATTGTCTTAAATTATAGAAATAATTTTACACTTATGAAAGATATGGCAATACATACCCGCGTTAATCCCAAAGAACGTATGAACCGACTAACAAATTTTGCAAATCGTCTTCTCAAAACACCAGATGTAAGTTATTTTCATTATATATATTTGGTATATAAGTATTTTCAATTATCTTATTGTAAACATTTTTAAATTATCATGTAGTCTGTGAGTGAATTGAAAAGATGGAACCTGACTTTGAGTAATAAGCTTGTTGAACTAACTGCTCGTACTTTACAACCTGAACCAATCCAAAGTCGTTCTAAAGGATATAACGGCGGAGAAGAAGCAGACTGGACAAAACATTTACGCTCTTTACCAATGTTCACCTCTGCGATGGTGAAACATTGGGTTATTTTAACTCCTAAGGACTGTTATCGAGAAGTTGACTTATTTGCACAGACTCTGGCAAAGGCTGCTCAAGGGATGACTTTTACATTACCTAAGCCTGCGATGTAAATTTTTCACATAGTTAACTGTGTAAGTTTTCTACCGTATTATTAAACTCTCAAATACAATTTTCAGAGTACCAATGAACGATGGAAGATCAAATACATTTTTAATTCATTTGGAACAAGTTATTAATGAATCTAATCCGGCATTGATTTTATGTGTTATTCCATCGGCACGTGGTGATGTTTATAGTTTGATTAAACGGAAATTATGTATTGATAGAGCTGGTATGTTTTAAAATTTTATATTTTATGTGTACTCATTATTTATGTTTAATGTGTATTTTTAACTTTTTTCAGTACCATCCCAAGTAGTATTGTTGAAAAATGTGCAAAAAAACAACTTGTCTGTATGTACAAAAATCGCCATTCAAATAAACTGCAAACTTGGAGGTGCTCCTTGGCTAGTTACCATTCCTAAAAAAGTAATTATTTTTGAACACTAGTTCAACTGTATTTACATATTACGAAACATTTTTCAGGGGATGATGATAGTTGGTTTTGATGTGTGCCATGATAGTCAACGGAAAAATATATCATTCGGAGCGTTAGTATCAACCATGGACGACACTCATACAAGTTACTTCAGTTGTGTAGAGCCTCATGAAAGTGGAGAGGAACTTTCTGTTCATTTCGCTACTGGCATAACTAGTAAATGCTTAAATGTTTTTTTTATTGTGATTTGCTTGAAAAATAAGATAATACCATTAATCTACATTTYTGTAAACATGCCTCAAACTATATTAAGCTTATAATATATATGTTGTATTAAGTTGACAACTGTTAGAGCTTACCATTAGCTAATTATTTAGGTCCTCAAAGAATTTTCCCATGTAAAATTGAAATTCATGTACTTTGATAATATTTGAGTTATATATTGTCAAGTCAAGCGTATTTAGCATCGTTTGTGGAAATAATTCATAGTAAATACAATTTTTAAACATTCGAATAGTCTGTTCACACTGTGGGAGAATTTCTTCTTGTCCCTCTTCTGTTTGGCGATTTACTAAGGCAGTGTAAGATGATAAATAAAATGATTTCCCTTATATATATATATTTATCACATAATATATACTCACGACCAGGGCTCGGGACTTGTAGCACTTAAAATCATTAAAATAAGTGCTTAAAAAAGCTTTGAAAGCACTCAAATAAGCATTTAAAAAACTTAAATTGTTGCAAAAATACTTATCATAAAACTAAAAACTAAAAAATCTAACAAAATAAAAATAAATTTTTTCATTTTCGAGACTAAGGATTTTATGGATTTTCCGAGGAATTTACTGAAAAATGAAATAATAAACRATATTTATAATAGTTAAAAACATAAAAACGTAGAAATATTGGTMAAATAAGCAGAAAAACTGGAAATAAGCATTTTTTTTTAAAAACCGCTGAAACAATAAAAAAAAGCACTTTCAAACTTCATAACTAAATATATTATAACATGACATACACTTCCATACCACTATGCTACATTTAAAGTCAATCCATAAAAATAAGCAAATGCTTTAATTTCCGAGCCCTGCTCATGACATTTGTATGTATATTTATTTAACTACAATTTTTAATACGTATAAATTAAATTGGTCTGTTTTCGTTTCACTAAAAATGTCATAGGTATATAAAAGGTTTTAAAAAATAAAAGTTTTATATATTGAAGATTTGAAATAAACTATAGTAAAAAAATGATTTTGTCTTTTCAGAGGCCTTGGCCAAGTATAGATCTAAAAATGGGGTATTACCTTCTTCCATTATCGTATACAGAGATGGTGTTGGAGAAGGTCAATTATCACATGTCCATAAAACGGAAGTTAGACTTTTTAAGGTACCGTGATATTAATATAAGATATTCTATTTCAAATTTCATACTATAATTTATATTTTTTTAGACTGCTTGTGAACAAGTTTATGGACCAAAGTCTGTCCCATTTGCATTTGTTATAGTCACCAAACGTATAAGTGCAAGATTTTTTGCACCTACTAAGAATGGCCCTGAAAATCCTCGACCTGGTACAATAATTGATACTGTGGTTACAGACCCAACCAAGTAAGATAGCTTAAATTATTTCATCACTGATTTAAAAACTTGATCAATATAATTTAATTCTGTTGTGATTGGTATAGATAGCTTACAGTTACTGTTTTACTTGTTTGTTGTATAGTAGTGTAAGTAAATAGAATGTAATGGTTAATCTTGAATTTCAGGTACGATTTCTTTTTAGTTTCACAACATGTAAGGCAGGGTACTGTAACTCCTACACATTATCAAGTAATTGAAGACACACTTAGATTTCCTCCTGATATTATGCAAAGACTTACATTCAAGTTGACCCATATGTACTACAATTGGTCGGTTAGTAAACCATTGTGGATATTTTTTTTATTATACCTATATATAATGTTTTACGCTTTTAGGGTACTGTGCGGGTTCCTGCTCCGTGTCAGTTAGCACACAAGTTGGCATTCCTCACTGGTCAGACCCTCAGACGTTCTCCCCACATTGGATTAGATGAGTTGTTATACTATTTATAACTAAATCATTTTGATATGTCATTCATATTTCAATAATTACTACTCTTATCAACTTTTTTATATGAAGCCATATTTAAATACTTTTATTTTATTGATCTTTTAATAGTGTGTATTGATATAATTCCATTTTTATGTTAATAACTGTTTTGAGGTGTCGCCTAATAATTATTAACTCTAACATCTTATAATTTAATTTACATTACTTGATAAAAATATATATACAATTACAACATATTGTAATTTTTTTAACCTAATAGTATACAGTCATGTTTTATCTTCAAGTATTTTTAAATAAATCAATCATTTTACCATCTTGGTGTTCCTTGGTTGTAATCATGTAATTAGGTTTAATTGTATTCATTTTCCATACATTAAAAAATGTATGCTTTAAGACATTAATAGGCAGWCAATAAATTGTTTTCCCAATCGTACATTTTTTTTTCKAAATAACAATTTATTTATATTAAACTTGTGACACTGTGAATATTAAACATTAAATAAATAATCAAGACATAGAAGTAGASAAWGTATTTCAAGCTGATATTTTTAGTGATCATGACTATTATAAATCAGATACAGAATCATGTGTGTTATATTACATCTGTGGGTATGTCACAAGATATATTATTAAACACACTAAGTGTAACAATTGTCAAATTGCAGTACAAGGTAGAGCAAAGAAATTATAAGATTATTTAATTCCTTAACTAAAAATTATTATTTTAGGTAAAACATCATTTTCTGATATGGTTGAAGCAACTCTCACAAATATTAAAACTAGAGRAGGCTTAATTCATCCAAGCACATTTTTATTCAATTTGTTGATAAACGTAGAGGAATCATTTCAAACATTTTGCAATGATTTTGATGTTTTTCAACAGACAGTTGAT